CCCCCCCCCCCCCCACCCCAACCTTCAGTTCTACTTTTACAATATATTTTTATAGCGGCAAAGGATCGTAAGCGAGGTCTTTCGCTACATCCCAGCTAATTGTATTGTCAGGTTCTTTCTCTTTGTCTAGCAATGTCTTGATGTAACCTGCCGATTTTGAGAATTGTTTATTTCTCAAGTGTTCAAGATATGCATTTTCTTTTCTAGTCATCTTTTCACATTTGTCCTTTATTTCTGCTGGCAAGTTTGGATTTAAAACAGGTGACTTCACATATTTGCCAGGATAAACTAATTGAAGGGTCAAAGTTCCGTTAAAGCACCTTTCATTCATTTCTTCATTCATCCGATGAAAAGTTTTCAGGTCACCATAAAACCCTTCCCCCTCCAGGTTTATTTGGCGCCAAAATGTCCTGTTAAAGTGCTTGTACAATAACATATCAGCTTTGTTCCATCGTTTGATGTTCTCTTTTAAGTTGTCACTCATTTCAGCTCTTTCTTTATCCACTCTCGCATTGGATTTAATGTGGAAAAAATCTTCAAATTCCCAGCAAAGCAAGCGTTTCATTAGCACCATAGACTCTTCAAAGTATTCCATGATCATCACCAAATCAAATTCTTTTTCCAAAAAGGCAATGTACTCTTTGACTGCTGTCAAGTTCTGGTAGAACTGGTAATCTAAACCAAAGTCAAGCATCATGGGATTTCTGGCTAAAACTGATGATCGACTTGCAGTAATATTTTTAAATTCTATTCCATTCCTGAGAAATGACTTTATAGATTTTGTTGGGTCCTTACCAAAACCAAAAACTTCACCGAATTCCACGTAGTTAAAAACTGATTCAAACTGGTCTACCGGGTCTCTGAGGATCGTAATGTACATGCTGGTATCCTTTGGGAAGAGATGATGCATGGTTTCTTCATTGTATCTTGTATGACTGCACAGAAAATTTGGTTGAATTCCATTGCGCGGCAAGGCATGTATGAGGCGAAATCGATGAGGCCAGCCAATCATTGAGTCAATGCCGAGAACAAAAGAAAGATCGTTAGAGTCGCCGTAACGGAAGAAGATGTTAGCCACAGTGGATGATCCTGTTTTGTGTGTCTTGAGAAAGAGAACCTGTCTAATAGGAACACACTTGCCAGCTGAGATAAGCTTTAATATCCGTCTGGTTGTCTCAACTGTTAATTGGTGTCTGTTAAAAAAAGAAAGTACACAGATGTTATTAGAAAGATCTTACTGTGCCTAATTCAATACTACGTGAAATCTGAAGTTCAAAGCGTAAAGCCTGGTTCACACTTGTCAGATAAGCACAAGAGTAAGCACAAGAAAATGCTAGTTGAAATAAGCATATAAGCACAAGCCCAAAAAAAGAAAGACCATTTTCCTTTTACTCATCCTTGTTCTTATGCTTATTTCACTAGCTAGTGATGCTTATTTTACCAGTGGGATTACTGGCATGAAATAAGCACAAGAATTCAACCAATCACCACCTTGTTTCTCCAGTGATGTAGCTGTAACTTGCACTGTCTTTACTAATGATTGTGTTTCTAGCAGCTAACAATCATAATTATTATGACGACAACAAAGGAACCTTGCAAAAAAGAAATAATTAAAAATGGTTCCAAATCTGCCAATTACAACCCATAGATGTGGCATTTTATACCCACTGAAGTAAACTTCTGTTTCCTGAGAGGTCCACTAAGATGACTGACGGAAAAAAAACCACAAAACCATTGATTGAGCAGAGTTTGTGTGTAACTGAAACACACAGACGTAAAGGTACAGTAAGGTAAAGTCTGCACACGAGCCACTAGTGGCCCATCAGGCTGTAGTTTATCCTGGTTTCCATAGCATGAAGTGACTAGGAGTATTTCTACTCCCCCCTGGATGGGATGCTAGTCCATTGCAAGGTTACCCCCAGCATTAAGTGCACTGGTGCCCATTTATACACCTGGGTGGAGAGAAGCACTGTGAGAGTTAAGTGCCTTGACCAAGAACACAACACAATGTTCCCGGCCAGGGCTCGAACCCGGACTGCTCAATCTGGAAACGAGCACACTAACAATGAGGCCACCATGCTTCCACAAAGCCACAAAGAAATACACAGAGCCACAACCTAATCTAGGGAGGCACGCTGGCCTCATGGTTAGCGCGCTCGTCTCCAGATCAAGCGGTCCGGGTTCGAGCCCTGGCC